TCAAAAAAAAAAAAAAAAAATGATATTTGACAGAATTGCTTTTTTTTTTTTTTTTCAGATGCTGCAGGATTTTTAGGCTGATTAATGATGATATTAAAAGAAAATTTTTTTAATGACTAAATGGTGGGACATTAGTAATAAGACTTAAATAGTTGATAATTTTTAATCATTTGGGAAGTTGACAGTAATATTTGTGTAAGTGAAATAAACAGAAAGTTGTACATTGGCCTATAAATATCTTGAGTTCTTTCTGGAACAGGAAATATAAGGAAATAGCCTTCATAACATGAACTCAACTATATGGAGAAAAATCAGAGAAAGGAAGCCAAAAGGAAATAGATTTAAGTGTTAACAGTGGTTACTTGGGAATGGTGAAATGCTGAGTGATTTTTTTCCTCCCAATGGCAGCATGGTACAGACAGTGGCCAGAGGTAGCCTTGGCATCAGACAGTCTTGTACTAAGTTGATGCCTCTGTGGCTTTAGACAAACGACAGACTATCTGAGTTGGTTTCTCTATCTGTTGAGTGGTTTTGAGGATCAAAGGAATAATAAGTCCCACGTGTCTACACTGTGATCTGGCAAAAGTCAGCTCCATAGATGGTGGCAGTAACTATTTTTACACATATATATTCTTTCCCGATTTTTAAGTACTGAATATGTACTGCTTTATAATCAAAGAGAAAGTAAAATTATAACTGAACAGCAGGAGCAAAAGCAGCATATGCTTTACCAACATAATTACTTTATGCCCCTAGTTTAGTATATGGAGTTTCCTGACTCTTCTCTGCTACTGAGAAGAGCCCCAGAGACCTACAGACTTAGGAGCCAGTGTAGCAGGATGCCATGGGCTGGCCCAGGGAGATGACAGAGCGAGTAGACCACAGCTTGAGTGGCTTCAGAGATGCTGAGCCTCTCCCTCTGTCCTGTCCAGGCCGCAATGAGCCTCTGAAGAAGGAGCGGCTCAAGTGGAAAAGCGACTACCCCATGACGGACGGGCAGCTGCGGAGCAAACGAGATGAATTCTGGGACACAGCACCTGCCTTCGAGGGCCGCAAGGAGATCTGGGATGCACTCAAGGCTGCTGCCTATGCTGCCGAGGCCAACGACCACGAGCTGGCCCAGGCCATCCTGGATGGAGCCAGCATCACCCTGCCTCATGGTGAGTGGGCAAGGGAAGGCTTTAGCATTGCTGTGGCTAGGGAGTTGTCAGCACAGTTTAGGGTGCAGGAGAGCTAGTGGCCAGCCACGTGTAAGGAGAGTCTATCTAAGTTGGGGGTGGGGGAGGTCATGGTATTTTTTTTTTTTTGCAGTTTTTGGCTGGGGCCAGGTTTGAACCTGCCACCTCTGGTATATGGGGCCGGTGCCCTACTCATTTGAGCCACAGGCACCGCCCAAGGGGTCATGGTATTCACTTACTCTTAAGCAACCCTCTCTGAGCATGAGCCAGAAATGGAGACACAGAGGAAAACAAGACGTGGTTCCTATTTGCCTAATGAGAGGACAGAAAGACACCATAAACCTGCAAAGCAGTGTGATCAATGCAAGCTTTAGACTTGCTCGGGGCACTTTGGAGTCCAAAGAACATCCAAGACACCAACCCTGTATTCAATGTTGAGCACTGAACTAGATGCCTCCACTGCATTATCTCATTTAAGTTCATAGCCTTATGGGGCGAGGTAAAACAAATGCTAACGGTGGAACTCTAGAGTCATGGACTTGGGTGTTAACTTCGAGTGTTTCCCTTTCCTAGCTGTATTACCTTGAGCAAAGAGCTTCTTTTTTTTTTTTTTTTCAGACAGAGTCTCACTGTGTCACCCTCAGTAGAGTGCTATGGTGTCACAGCTCACAGCAACCTCAAACTCTTGGGCTTAAGCAATTCTCTTGTCCCAGCCTCCTAAGTAGCTGGAACTACAGGTGCCCACCACAACCCCAGACTATTTTTTTGTAGTGCTTCAGCTGGTGCCGGGTTCAAACCTGCCACCCTTGATGTATGTGGCTGGCGCTGTAACCACTATGCTATGGGCGCCAAAGAGCTTCTTCAATTTAGAGTCTTAGAGCTGTGAAGGGGAGGAAATTATTATTTTTTTTTTTTGAGACAGACCCTCAAGCTATCCCCCCTGGGTAGAGTGCCATGGCATCACAGCTCACAGCAACCTCCAACTCCTGGGCTCAAGTGAGTCTCCTGCCTCCACCTCCCAAGTAGCTGGGATTACAGGTGTCCGCCCCCCTGAACCGCTTTTATTTTTTGGTTGCAGCCATCATTGTTTGGTGGGCCCAGGCTGGATTTGAACCTGCCAGCTCAAGTGTATGTGGCTGGTGCCTTAGCCATTTGAGCCACAGGCGCCGAGCCGAGGAAATTATTTGTGGTTCAACAGGATACACATAATATCATTTAGTCCAGTCCCAGTACTTGATAGGTGCTCAAAAGACAGTAAACATATCTACAGGAATTACATTGTACCAGTAAGGAAACTGAGGCCCACAAAGAACAGGGCCTATGCTGCCTCATTCATCCTTATAAGCATAGTGGCTGGCACACATGTACAAATGAAAAGTTAAGTAATGTGCTAGAGTTGAATGAACTAGTACCTGGTAGAGGCAAGATGCCAACCCAGTTCTTCCTGACTGCAGACTTGTGCTCCTCTGGCCATAAGTCTATCCCTGGGAGACCTGACTATGAGGTGGCTGTGGCAGTTGTATTAGTCTGCTCAGGCTGCTATAACAAAATAGCACACACTGGGTGGCTTAAACAATGGACATTTATTTCTCACATTCTAGAGGCTGGGAAATCCAGGATCAAGTTGCTAAGCAATTTGGTTTTGGGTGAGGACTCTCTTGCTGGCTTCTTACTGTGTCCTCTTACTGTGTCCTCTTATGGAGGGGAGGGGGCAGAGATAAAGTGAGATGGTGCTCTGGTGTCTCTTACAAGGACTATAAGCCAGGCACAGTGGTGTGTACCTATAGTTGCAGTTGCTTGGGTGGCTGAGCTGGAAAGATTGCTTGAGCCCAAGAGTTTGAGACTAGTCTGAACAACACAGCAAGAATCTGTTTCTTGCTCTGTGCCCATAGCACAGTGGTTATGGCGTTGGCCACATACACCAGGGTTTGCAGGTTCGAACCTAGCCCAGGCCTGCTAAACAACCACAACTGCCTGTGTTCCCAGCTACTTGGAGGCTGAGGCAAGAGAATCGCTTAAGCTCAAGAGTTTGAGGTTGCTGTGAGCTATGACACCATGGCACTCTACCCAGGGCGACATAGTGAGACTTTATCTCAAAAAAAAAAAAAAAAGAAGAATCTGTCTTACACTGTTAATTATACCAGATCACAGCCTTTATGAGCTCACTTAACTTTTAATTACTTCCATATAGACCCCTTCTCCAAATACAGTCATATTGGGAGGTTAGAATTTCAATTTAGAAATTTAGGGGACATTAAGTCCATGACAGTGAATCCCTGAGCCAACTCTGACAACCCTCTCCTCTCCCACAGGCACCCTCTGTGAATGCTATGATGAGCTGGGGAATCGCTACCAGCTGCCCATCTACTGCCTGTCACCACCCGTGAACCTGCTGCTAGAGCATACCGAGGAGGAGAGCCTGGAGCCCCCCGAGCCCACCCCCAGCGTGCGCCATGAGTTTCCCCTGAAGGTGCGCCTGTCCACAGGCAAGGACGTGAGGCTCAGTGCCAGCCTGCCTGACACAGTGGGGCAGCTCAAGAGGCAGCTGCATGCCCAGGAGGGCATTGAGCCGTCCTGGCAGCGATGGTTCTTCTCTGGGAAACTGCTCACAGACCGCACACGACTCCAGGAGACCAAGATCCAGAAAGATTTTGTCATCCAGGTCATCATCAACCAGCCCCCACCACCCCAGGACTGATGAGCCCACAGACCACTGGGAAGGGAGGCTCCTATGGGGCTACACGGCCCCCTCTGGAGCACTAGGCCCCCTGCCCTGCTGCTGCCTTCGAGTGCTGTTATTTCCTACAGGGGCACCTCCCCATTATGTGGCTGCTGGGTGAGCCATGAAGGGACCCTGCCTCCCAGGGCTTTGTGGGCCACCAGTGTCCAACCTCCAGGGAGCAGGCTATCATATACAGGCCTTGCAGCCTCATCAGAGAAAAGGTGAACCAGGGCCTCTACCCTGTCTCTCTTGAAGCAGGTTTAAGCCATGAAGGCCAGCCTGGAGGCCCCTGGAGCCCAGATCTGTCATCTGGTGCTGCCGGCTGTGCTCACTCCGGTTTTCTGCTCAGGGTCTGAAGCAGCTGCTGTCTTCTTCCTCTGTCCCCACCCCTGGCTCTGCTCTGGGCACAGTGCCAGTTCCCTGGAGAGGAGGGAACCACCAGTGAGCCCCAGGGCTCAGGGAGCCTGAGGCGGGCCTCTGCCTCTCCCTGCCTCCAGCACAATTGGCAGAGATGAAGCATGTGGTGGACAGCTGGGCTGTTGCAGCAGGGGTCTGCACAGGGCCATATCCTGGCTATAACCCAGGTGGTGAGTGTCTGCAGCCTGGTTATGGCCCCCACAGCCACTCTCTGTGTACAGACATATCTGCATATTTATCAATAAAGCCTTTTGCTCCTCTCTTGCCTGGCATTTTACTGAACTCCTCTGTGGCTCTGTGGCACCCCAGGCCTGTTCTGGTGTGGGAACAGGTGGATGCCCAGCCTCCCCAGCTGCTCTGGGCGCAGCAGGGTTTACATGCAGAATGAACCTTGGACTTTGAGTCTTCTGGGTCCTGATCCCAACTCCTCTTGTGTTCTCATGGGTCCTCAGAAAAGCCACTTACCCTATGAACCCACTTAGCTTTAAAGTGAAGCTGAAGCCACTTGCCCTGGGTTGCTGGGTAAATTAAACAGGAAAACAGATGTGAAAGTGCTCAGTGTGAAGGCAGCCTTGGGATGGAGACCTGTGCAGTAGAAGGGGCATGGCCTTTGTGACAGAGGTGTGCAGGAAGTCCTGGAGACAGCATGCCCATCGGGATGTTAAACCAAAATCTCTGACAGATTTAGATTATGACATGTGTCAGATCTTTGTGTTGGCTCACTGGCAAGGGAACCGGAGAATAAAAGGAACTGGTTCCTTGAGCTTCCTCATGGAACTCTTAGATAAGGTTGTTTGGCTAAAGGCAGGCACATGAGCCTCTTACAGCAGAAAGCTGGGGCGGCTGCGGCTCACTGGCAGGCTAAACCTGGGCCCAAGCCTGCAAGTTCCAGGTGTGGAACTAAGTGAGTATAGGATCCGCTTTTTCTTCTAATTGAGAGCATTTTTCCTTCTCAGCATGGCTGGCCCCAGTCAAAGCAGCCTGCACTGTCGGCCTGACAGGAAATTACAGTGGGAAGGGTGATGCAGAGTAGCTGGTCTCCATGCTGCACTCTGGCTTCCCAAGATCCTTCTCTTGAAGACCCTGTGAGCCCTGCAGAAGACACCCTGAGGCACTTGAGGGAGGAGACAAGGATAAATTGGGCCATGAAGCCCCACAGCCAAATGTGATGTGGTGATGCTTCGCTAGGGGGCACTGTGGGACCCCAGAAAAGCAAAGGCCAAGGGGAGCCACCATCAAAGAGGGAAGCAGCTGTCCTTACTCTTGCAGCTGCCCTGGTACTCTGGCCTAGACAAGCAGACTCTGCCCCTTCTTGCAGCCAGCAGGGCCTATTTGCAGGACAACCTAGGGTGCAGGCTTGTCAGGCCCCCACGTGTGATTTTCAGGCCCTCTTGCTGATGCTGGTTGAGCAGGGTTTCCAGGCATCCAGCAGATGGCAGTGCCATCCTAACTGGGGCACGTAGCCCGTGGATCCTTTGTGCAGCCCAGCTGCCCTAAGGTCCAGCAAGGCCTAAGCTCTCAGGACCGTGTCTGGACAGGCTTCTTCCATAGCTCTTGGGGTGCCGTGCCTTCCAGCTCTAATAGGCCAGGTGTTGGGGGGCAACAGGCCCTGATCTCTGGCCTTGGGTCCTTCTGCTCCCTGGGGCTGTCTGAGGTGAAGGTGATAGGTAGGGGAGGCAGGTGGAGAATTGGGCCAGTGAGTCATGGCAAAGGCGCCCAGTTGGGCAGTGGTGGGTGGAGGTGCTCTGGCCTATAAAGCCCCCGAGGCCCTGTGGCCTGCAGAGACTGTCATGGACATGGATGGCACCATGGAGAGTTCCGAGGCAGTACAGAGAGCCACAGCACTGATAGAGGAGCGGCTGGCGCAGGAGGAAAGCAAGGTGCGGTAGGAGGGTGGGGGGGATCCTCTGCTGCCAAGAGAGGGAGAGCTTGGTTGCCACATTTTGATGGAGACAGGGCCTGGTATCCCCAAAGGCGCAGCTGGCCCCATTCTCACCCCAGGGTGTTCCGGGGCAGGGGAGGGGGGTTGCTGTTGGTGGGAGCCAGGGGTGGGGAGCCAAGCTAGGCTTCCTGAGACTCTGCTCACCCACCTTGGCTTTGGGAAAAAAGGGGACTGTACAAAGCAGACAGCTGGGGCCCCGCCTGAGACTGTCAGGGATGTGTGCAGCTCTGAGATACCCCAGCTGCTGGGGGGAAGGCTACAGCAGGAAAAATTCCAATGTTTGGTCCTTGAGGAAGAATAAAGACTGAAAATGGAGCAAGAAAGGGATTCTGGGGAAGGAAGTGTGGATTTTCCTGGGACTGCACACAATGTTTGGGAAGGCCTCTGAAGCATGGCACTCTGTGCATTTGTATTACTCTGGGATAAGGAAATAGGTCGGGGGCTGCTGGCTTGCCCTACTCTTCATTTTGTTGAAACTAGTATTTGATCTAGTGTCCATTTTACTAAAAGCCCAGTGCTATGGGGAATGTAGGACGAATAAGGTCCAGATCCTGCTTTCTTTTTACCAACTCAGCATTCATTTTAGCCACCTTTGTCAGTTATAAGTCTACTAAGAAACAGGGCAGGCTCGGCACCTGTGGCTCAAGTGGCTAAGGCGCCAGCCACATACACCTAAGGTGGTGGGTTTGAATCCAGCCTGGGCCACCAAACAACAATGACGGCTGCAACCAAAAAAAATAGCCAGGCATTGTGGCAGGCACCTGTGGTCCCAGCTACTTGGGAGGCTGAGGCAGGAGACTCGCTTGAGCCCAGGAGTTGGAGGTTGCTGTGAGCTGTGGTGCTATGGCACTCTGCCCAGGGGGATAGCTTGAGGCTCTGTCTCAAAAAAAAAAAGAAACAGGGCAGAAGAAAGAAACGGCTGAATAGAGGTGTGAATCAGAAGTGAAGGAGCAGAAAGAGTGGGTGAATCATCCTGACTCTGGCTAGGAAGATATTTGAGCTGGGCCTCCGAAGGTGAGAAGTGGAGTCCAGGGGGAGATACTTCGGGCTAAGGAAATGATGGGAGCTAAAGTTTTCATGAGTGAGAGTGTAATGATTATGAGAAGGCCCTGTAGCTGGGCAGCGCCTGTGGCTCAGTGAGTAAGGTACCAGTCCCATATACTGAGGGTGGCAGGTTCAAACCTGGCCCCAGTCAAACTGCAACAAAAAATAGTCAGCTGTTGTGGCGGGCACCTATAAGTCCCAGCTACTCAGGAGGCTGAGGCAAGAGAATCACCTAAGCCCAAGAGCTGGAGATTGCTATGAGCTGTGATGCCACGGCACTCTACTGAGGGTGATAAAGTGAGACTCTGTCTCAAAAAAAAAAAACAGAAAGCCCTGTAGCAAGGGCTAAGGCTGGAAAAGAGGACAGACCAGAGAGGGCCATGTACAAGAGATTTATTCTATGGGCAGTGGGGAGCCACTAAATGTTGAGTGAGGGAGAGTAGTGTCATCTGACTTACTTTTGGAAGGCAGCTCTGATGGCACTGAGAAGAACTTGTTAGAGGGGTACCGCTCACCCTAACAGGAATGGAGGTAGATCCCATTCAATAAAGGTAGTGTGACTGAGGGGTAAGGAAGAGGACAGGGTCAGGACTCCAAGGGAAGAAGAGATCAGGTGGTCAAGGAGGAGCTTGGGCTAAGCCTAGTGCGTCTTGGCTGGGACACGCCTGGAACTCTGGGAATCCTTCATCTTACTCCCGCACAGGCATGTATACATGGCAGGCCAGTGGCAGGCAGGTGAGTCATTCTGCAGTGCCATTTCTGGAATGCTATCACTAGACACAGGGACTTCAGCAAGGGGACACAGAGCAGTCCTCATCCATTCATTCATCCAACAAATATAGCTACAGGGCTGTCAGGACATGGGGTACCTACTGTGTGCCTGCTACATGCTGGGCCCTGTGCGACCTTTTTACAGGCATGCTCTCATTTATTCTGCACAACAATCTATGAAGTAAAGTGGGAGTTTTGTTTTGTTTCATGAACTGGCATCTAATTCAACAAATTTTTTCTTTTCTTTTTTTTTTTTTTTGGAGACAGAGTCTTACTTTGTCACCCTTGGTAATGGATGGATGGATGGATGAATGATGGCAAGCAGGCTCAACATCTCTGCCCACCCCACTAAGTTCTCAGTGATGACCTAACCCAGTAAGCTGCCCACACAGAGCTACAGCCCCTGAGCTGACCTCCAGGGCCTCCTCATTCTACTCTAGGGAGGGCGCACAGGCCAGTCTTTCCTCACAGCAACTTCACAGCAACTTCAAATTCTTGGGCTCAAGTAATCCCTGCCACAATGCCTGACTATTTTTTTTTAAATTTTTTTTTGAGACAGCCTCAAGCTGTCGCCCTGGGTAGAGTGCTGTGGCATCACAGCTCACAACAACCTCCAACTCTTGGGCTTAAGCGATTCTCTTGCCTCCCAATTGGCTCGGACTACAGGCGCCTGCTGCAATGCCTGGCTATTTTTTGGTTGTAGCTGTCATTGTTGTTTGGCAGGCCCAGGCTGGATTCAAACCCGCCAACTCTGGTGTATGTGGCTGGCACCTTAGCCGTTTGAGCTACAGGTGCCAAGCCCTGACCATATTTAGAAACAAGGTCTTGCTTTGGCTCAGGCTGGTCTCAAACTGGTGAGCTCAGGCTAACAACGTGCCTTGGCCTCCCAGAATGCTAGGATTACAGGCATGAGCCACTGCAGCTAGCTTCAACAAATTACTATTGAACACTCACTGAGTATGCCATTCCACAGACAAGTCTGAAGTACGGGGACACAGGGTCTGAGGAAGACATGGGTGAGAATAAAGAGTCCCCAGTTAGCCAGGCATGATGGCTCAAGCCTGTAATCCTAGCACTCTCAGAGTCCTAGGCAGATGGATTGGTTTAACTTGTAAGTTTGACACTAGCCTGAGCAAGAGCAAGACCCCATCTCTACTAAAAATAGAAACACTAACTGGCCTTTTGTAGGGGGCAACTGTAGTCCCAGCTACTTTGGAGGCTAATGCAAGAAGGATCACTTGAGTCTAGGAATTTGAGGTTGCTGTGAGCTATGATGCCATGGCACACTAGCCTGGGGCAACAGAGTAAAACTGTTTCAAAAAAAAAAAAAGAGGGCAGCACCTGTGGCTCAAGGAGTAGGGCGCTGGCCCCATACGCTGGAGGTGGTGTCTTCAAACCCAGACCCAGCCAAAAAAAAGAAAGTCCCCAATTGTTTTTACCAGGCCCCAGCCTAGCAGGAGTCACTGAGGAAAGACTGGCCTGTGCGCCCTCCCTAGAGTAGAATGAGGAGGCCCCGGAGGTCAGCTCAGGGGCTGTAGCTCTGTGTGGGCAGCTTACTGGGTTAGGTCATCACTGAGAACTTAGTGGGGTGGGCAGAGATGTTGAGCCTGCTTGCCATCATTCATCCATCCATCCATCCATTCACCAAACATTCTCTGAGCACCTACTGTATGCTAGGGCCTGTCATAGGAGCTAGGGACACCAAGATGTTAAGACACAAGTCTGCCCTCTGGATGTTCCATGAGGAGCCCAGCCAGAGTCCCACATGCAGCAGTAGCTGCAGCCCCAAGTCATCCCTTGTCCCTGGAAGAAGATGCAGTATTTCAGATGAGGCCAGCACTGTGGAGACCCCAAACCATATCAGCTCAACAGGAAAGGGAGAAAGCAGTGGACAACAGGACCTTCTGAATGAAGGCATGGGAAATTAGCCCTCAAAACCTCTGTAAAAAGGCTAACACTGAACCACAGGGAGGAATGAGCCAGGTGCTGACACAGCACTCTGTAAGTGTGGCTCTTCCTCCATAGCTACCACCTCGACTCAGCACCCTCCCACCTGGGTACATGTCCCTGGACTCATGGCCATATGAGCTGTGCAGGGGGTGCTGCAGAGATGCCAGCAACAGCTCCTCACAGAGTCTGAAGAAATAGTCCAGGAAAACAGAGGACAGCTTAAAGGGAGTTATCACGGTGAGAAGGCTGACAGAGGTCACTTCAGCCTGAAAGCTGAGGAGCTGCTGCTCCCATCCCTCAGTTTCCCTCAAAGCAATAATTTCCAAGCTCTAGATTTCATAGATCACAAAATCTGAAAGAAAAAAATTTGGTGTCTGTCATAGAGTTGCCAAATTTTATATTGACAGGTAAGACCATTTTACAAATAACAATCTCTTTTCACAATTATTACATCAAAGTGAATTTTTAATTTTTAAATATTTTTTAGAGACAGGGTCTGGCTTTTTACTCCAGATAGTCTTGAATTCTTAGGCTCAAGAGATCCTTCTGCCTCAGCCTCCTGCCCAGCCAAAGAGAATTTTTAATGCCAAAAATAAGATAAAAATCATGTAGTGCTCAAAAAAGTGAATGTACTTGATTTCCTGAAAAATTCACTCTGTTGGTCTTTAATCTTGTTTTACCCAGACTTCTGCTAGTCAGCAGGCAGGTGTTTGAGCTGGGATGGGTAAGTGTGGAACTTGCCCCTTTTAGGGGCCACCCCAGGAACCCTGCTCTTGCCTATGGCAGTCCAGGACCAGATAGAAAGGCTCTGAGACCACCCAGGAGGTCCTTGTGGGATGTCCTTGGAGAGAGCAAGGGAGAGGCTACCTGCCATCCCAGGTACTAGAAAAGGTGCTCTCCTTGACTCACCAGAAACTCCAAGGAGATGTCCACCAGAAGCTGCCCATGAACTTGCTGGTGCTGGAGGATGAGAAGCACCATGGGGCCCAGAGTCCAGCGTTGCAAAATGTTAAAGTAAGTATGAGAGACCCAATGTCTTTACTGAGGGTACTTGCGAGGTGCTATGGACTGGCTTCTCTTCCTCCTCAAGGTCTGGAGGCCAGCAGCTCACTTGCCATGGGAGCTTATTGGCATTGCAGAATCTCTGCCCCACCTAGACCTGCTAAACTGGATATCCCCCGCACTCCCCTCCCCATATAAGCCTTGGTTCCTTCTCTCTTGACAAGGTCTCCCTGCTCACCCCCCACCTCCAGCTTAGCTCAGGGTCTCCCAAGCACACTAAATCTGGGTGCAGCATGCAGGTTCATGGGCCATCCCCCACTCAGGGCCAAGAACGTGTGCGCAAGACATCCCTGGACCTGCGGCGGGAGATCATTGATGTGGGTGGGATCCAGAACCTCATTGAGTTGCGGAAAAAGCGCAAGCAGAAGAAGCGGGATGCCCTGGCCGCCTCTCAGGAGCCACCTCCAGAGCCCGAGGAGATCGTAAGGGTCCTGGGGATGACCCCCATGTGGGCAGGGGGAGCCAGGGAGGCCTCAATACACTGGGGGTGGCCCTTCATGACTGGATTCACATACTGCAGACTGGTCCTGTGGATGAAGAGACATTCCTGAAAGCTGCTGTGGAGGGGAAGTTGAAGGTCATTGAGAAGTTTCTGGCTGACGGGGGTTCAGCTGACACCTGTGATGAGGTGATACCTTTCACCCCTGCACCTGCACCCTTTCAGAGCTGCCACCCCCACTCCCTCGATCCTGCTCAGCCCACTGTAGGCCTACTTAAGAAGAGACATGGGTGTTCTCTGGGTGGGTAGGTAGGGTGCACAGAAGGATGCCCCCTTTCCCACCCAGGAATTTTCCTAAATCCTTCTTAGACCCTTTTCCAACTCAAACATGAGTAACAATTATTACACATGTATTTAGGGGAGAAAGTGGAATAGTATCAAATTAAATGAGGACAGGACCAGGACATTTGGGTTCAAAGAAATCCCATCTCGGCTCGGCGCCTATAGCTCACCCGGCTAAGGCGCCAGCCACGTACACCTAAGCTGTCGGGTTCGAATCCCCAGCCCGGACCCGCCAAACAACGATGATGGCTGCAACCAAAAAATAGCCGGGCGTTGTGGCGGGCGCCTGTGGTCCCAGCTACTTGGGAGGCGGAGGCAGGAGACTCGCTTGAGCCCAGGAGTTGGAGGTTGCTGTGAGCTGTAATGCCATGGCACTCTGCCCAGGGGGACAGCTTGAGGCTCTGTCTCAAAAAAAAAAAAAAAGAAATCCCATCTCTACCACTCACTAGTCGTGGGACCTGTGGCTTTGCCAGTCCCCTCTCCATGCCTCAGTTTTCTCTGTTCCTCCTCACAATGTGTTATGGTAACCAAATAGAATATTAGCGACTCAATAACTATTTACTGAATAAATGAAAAACTAAAAAGCACATAGTTTACGTGCTTATACATAGGATATGTCCTATGTATTATATACATAGGATATGATATTTTTGTTTCCTATGCTATAATATCATTTAATACCCTTGTAAAATTATTTTTATTACTTTACTATGGTAAACTATAACATGAAATACGATTCAGTGGCATTAACAGCATTCACAATGTTGTACAACCATTGCTACTACTTTCAAATTTTTTCTTTTCTTTTCTTTTCTTTTTTTTTTTTTTGAGGCAGAGTCTCCAGCTGTCCCCCTGGGTAGAGTGCCATGGCATCACAGCTCACAGAAACCTCCAACTCCTGGGCTCAAGCAAGTCTCTTGCCTCAGCCTCCCGAGTAGGTGGGACCACAGGCGTCAGCCACAATGCCCGGCTATTTTTTAGTTGTAGCCGTCATTATTGTTTGGTGGGCCCGGGCTGGATTCAAACCCACCACCTTGGGTGTATGTGGCTGGCGCCTTAGCCACTTGAGCCACAGGCGCCGAGCCTCAGAATTTTTCTACCACTTACCATACTTCTTTTTGTCTTTCTTGAAACTGTCTCACACTTCATAGGGTGCTCCCTGGCTCTCATATCCTGGGACTTCACCTGTGAATGGTTTCCCACCTTCAGTCTGCATTATGGTAGACTTTGGAAGGATCACATGGCCTTTCTGTTCTTTAGACTCCAGGGTCTTAATCTTCTTGGTCTATCCAAGCACCTCCTACTTCTGACCACTATGTGAGGTACTAGGAGTAAAAAAAGAGAGGGAAAAGAAAAGAAAAGAAAAAAGCAAGATTGAGAGTTGTGGGAAGATTGATGCTTACCCAAATTGTTAGAATATGGAAAGATATTTACTATTGCCCTAGTGTTTCAAAGTCCAAAGCAGAAAGTGGGCTACACTGTGAAGGGGGGAAATTTATTCCTTCCTTGAATCATGAGTCAGTGTACTGTGTCCATCCTGGCCCTGTGCTAGGCACTCAGGGGAAATAGAGTCCAGCAAGACTTGATCTGCCCTGGAACTCTCATAGTCAGAGGTCATGTGGGTTTCCAGGGCAGCTCTGGCCTAGAGGTTTCAAGAAAATTATGGTACTTGAGCTGCGTCTTGAAGGAATAGCAGATTTTAGCACTCACATGGAATGACGGCAAAATAGTCATGCCTGGCAGAGAGAACAGCCTATGCAAAGAAGGCATGGCTTGATGTGCTTAGGGTACAGTGAGAAAGTCACTTAGGGTCAAGGGCCCTAAGGCTATTCTGGATAGAGCATAAAGGAGCTGGTGTTTTGCCAGAAGACATGGGACTTAGCACAGAGGTCAGGCTCAAGCTTGGGTAAGGCCAGGGCCACAGCTTGGGTGGAGATGGGCTCAGGCCTGGGGCCAGAGGCAAGACTCTGACAGTGTCTCTGGGGACAGTTCCACCGGACAGCACTGCACCGAGCCTCCCTAGAGGGCCACATGGAGATCCTTGAGAAGCTTCTGGAGAGTGGGGCCACTGTGGACTTTCAGGATCGGGTAAGATGACAGGTGTTGGGTAAGAGGACAGGTGCTGAGTGAGTGGCAGGAGATGGGTCCAGCACCAAGAGACCCCTCCCTCTCTCTGCCAACATGTACCAACTTGAAACACAAACAGACTGACCTTGGGCCAGCCCCATTACCTCCCTGAGCCTCCTCTATAAATCTAGCTTGGACTAGGTGGACCCTGAGTGTTCTCCCTCTCTACTCAGTCCATCGCCCAGCATAGGAGTGCCGCTGCTCATTCCCTGCATCTTTCTCCTGGGTATCCCCTCTGCCCTCTAGGCTAGGGTCCTTTCCCCCAGGCACTTTCTTCCCTGTAGCTTCACAATGAGGCCCCATCCTTCCCTTCTAGCTGGACTGCACAGCTATGCACTGGGCCTGCCGTGGGGGCCACTTGGAGGTGGTGAAACTCCTGCAAAGCCGAGGAGCAGACACCAACGTGAGGGATAAGGTGAGGCAACAATGCTCACATGCAGCAGACACTGGGATGACTGTGGGTGAGAGGGCGGGGGCCAAGGCAGAGGGCAGGAAAGCCCAAGAGGCAGGAAAGTAGTGAGCTGGCTTGGTTTCTGGGTGGCCGCAGAGTAGGGATGTCACTATAGGCCCTTGAGAGACCATGATCTGGGGGTGGGAGCAGAAAGAACAGAGAAGGGGGAGGATAGAGGGCCACCATCTTGGGGGCTTAGGTGCCACTCAGATGCAGGATTTGTTCTTCCATGCAATCCTTTATCATCTTCAGTCTATCCATACATCTATCCATTTATCCACTCATCATTTATCCATCCATTCATTTACTTATTATTTATTTATTCATGCACCATACTTCATCCATTCCTTCCCGCGTACCCATGAACAAGTGACTTAGCCTCCGAGCCTCTGTTCCTCACTTGTAAAATGTTTTGTGGAGTTCTTGTGTATATCCAGGTGGGAAAATGTATGTAAATAAATTATTTATTACAATTCATGATTGAATTGTAATTAATATGAAACATAAGGCTAATGTATTGATGAGCTTCGCCATGCCCATCACATAGTCATCTCTCAATAAATGATATCTGTTACTAAAAGAAGGGTGGAGGAGTGAACAGTTGCTCACGGCTGGTTAAGAGGGGAATCATAAGAGCCTCCTCAGGGCTTCCCAGAGGAGTCAGCATTTGAGGCTTTAGAGTTAGAACATTGGATAGGATGGTGGGAAACGGTACCATTCCCTGCCCATCCAGAGCTCAGGCCTCAGCACTAGGACATGGAAGAGGGATTAAGCTGGAGTTAGGAAAGCCTTCTATCACAGGGCTTCCATGGTCCAGGACCCTTGAAGTAGTAGTTTCTGTTTACTCTCCACCCAGCTGCTGAGCACGCCCCTGCATGTGGCGGTCCGGACAGGGCACGTGGAGATTGTGGAGCACTTTCTATCCTTGGGCCTGGACATCAATGCCAGAGACAGAGTGAGTGCCACCCTACCCGCTGCTTGGCCCCACCACGGGTCAGTGGGCAGCCTGCAGGCTCCCACTGGTAGTTTCTTTCCCTTTGGGGCCCTCAGGACTGTGGCTCCTGATCAGGGTCTCTAGCCCACTTCCCATCACCCAGCCCTGCTCACTGCCCACAAGGGCCACTCTGAGTGCCACACTGGCTCTAGGAAGGGGACAGTGCCCTGCATGATGCTGTGAGGCTCAACCGCTACAAAATCATCAAACTGCTGCTCTTGCATGGAGCTGACATGATGAGCAAGAACCTGGTAAGTTCATTCCTTCCTTGATTCAGTAATAAGTGTGATCTCTCATTCAAGAAGGGTCTATCCTAGCCACAGCCCAGGGACACATATCACTGGCTCTGGTCCATCACCATAGGACATGAAGTTGTCTCCCTCCAAACACCATTCCAAGTACCCGCTTTCTCAACTCTCACTCTGGGTGTCTGTGTCCAGAATGCAAGTGCAGAGAAATGACAGCACGAGGACTTCCCAAAGGCCCCTAAATAGGCTTGAGGTCTTCACATGCAGGCTCACCAGGGCCCAAATCACAGAGGCCCAGGGCTGGAAGGAACCTGAGCTCTTGGTTCACACGACTACCACTAGCACACCATGTTGGTTCCTGGTGGTCCTTGAGTTGTCTTAGGACCTGTGTCCCTTAGTCTGAGCTCTTCTTTGGGGTCCCAGAACAGTCACAGAGAGGGGGCTGGGAGAGTCCCTCTAGCTCAAGAAAGGCTAAGAAGGTAAGGGGAAAGGCAGAAAGATCTGGAGAGGGTGTAAAAAAGTTTTCAGCTTCAGTGTTACTGACATTTTGGACTGGATAATCCTTTGCTGTGGGGGACTATCCTGTGCACTATAGGAAGTGTGAGCAGCATTCTTGGCCTCTACCCAGTAGATACCAATGTATGAAACCCCAGTTGTAACAAATGTCTCCAAACATGGCTAGCTGCCCCAATTAAGAACCTCTGATGTACATAAGGGAACCTTCTGGTATGGACTTCTAGACAGAGAACAGAGCTATCTACTCTTGGTTCCCCCAGGCAGGAAAGACACCCACGGACTTGGTGCAGCTGTGGCAGGCTGACACCCGGCACGCCCTGGAACATCCTGAGCCAGAGGCACAGCAGAATGGACTAGAGGGGCATCCTGAGAGTGGACGAGAGACCCCCCAGCCTATGCCAGTCCAATGAATGCCTGCTGCAGACCACCCAAGTCTCTGGCACCTTGCGTGTGCAGCTGGAGCGTTTTAAGAATGGCCCCCAGAGCCAACTGAGGACCCAGCCATTCCTCTGAGCAATCCGGGAGGCTGTGCTGACTACCGTAATAAAAAAGTTGTTTTGCTACATGCGATGTTTATGTCCACTTGTGTCCAAAATATTTAAGAATGAAGACTGAGAGAAAGGGTGGATTTGGGGAAAGGGAAACTTGGAGCTCTTTGGCTCCTCTGAGCCAGCCCAGCCACTTTCCACCCATGGTCTCTTCATCTCACTTCTCCCCTCCCACCCTGTTTTTCCTCCCCTTCCTAAACCTCCAGGGCCAGACTTGGCCTTGCACAGATCTGCCTGGGCCCCTTCTGGTGATTGCTGTCTTGTGGGGCTGTTTGTGGCCAGCACAGTCTTGTCTTGTCACGTGGCTGCTGCAGTAGGAGGAGTCTGGCAGGGCCACACAGTGGAGGAGTGGCTCCACAGGCAGCTCTCAGGCCCGTCCTTACCATGCCTCCCGGCCTCGCGCGGGGCAGGCCCAGCTCAGCCAATCGGCTCCACCAATCTTAGAACTGCCCTGGAAACTTGGCTGGGCTTCTGGGCTTGGGGCAGGGAACTGTGGGAGGAAGGCCCAGGTTCCCCTGAAGACACCCTTAGTATCAGGCAGAGAACCAGCCCTCCACCTGGCCAGAGGGACACTGAGTTGTGTCATTCTGCAGCCTCCCGTTCCCTCTAGGGCCCATGGGCCTTGCCCCTGACCCTGGGGACATCCAGCTCAGGTCTGCCCTCATGGCCTCAAGTTAGGAGCTACAAAATTTTAACTAGACATATTGATCATTAACAGGGGGTCGAAAGGAGTCCACACACAGTCTCACTGGGAGGCACAGATTCACAGTGCCTGGGGCCTCCTGTGGAGATGATGGGCCCCCGAGTCTGGTCCTCTGTGAGGCAGGGCCTAAGCAGAGGCCTGGCCCAGAACATAAAGGGCTTGGCCTCAGGGGAGGGGAGGAAGATGGATATTGCAGGCATCTACCCCCCTGTGACTACCCCCTTCACTGCCACCGCAGAGGTGGACTATGGGAAACTGGAAGAGAATCTACACAAATTGGGCACCCTCCCCTTCCGAGGTAAGTAAGGCCTGTCCATTGTGGGAGCTGGGGGAACACGAGTGGCCTTGGGCTCTTTGGCTAGAGTTAGTTTATCATAGGAGAGGAAAAGTCTAGAGTCAGGTGACAGGCAGAAAGCTCCCTGCTAGCCTGTGACCAGGGACTGAACTTCACCCACTTCAGTTACGAGCTGCTAAAGTGTAGTTTTAGCCCCCAGTGTTGTTGTGGGGATCAAACTGGATAATGGGTGTGAAAGTCCTTGTCCACCAGGAACTGCACTGGGAGCAGATGTGAGAGCGTCAGCTGGGGTCATGTGGGTGCCCAGACAGCTGTCTCAGTTATCTCTTGTTTGCATACTTTCTTAGACCAGGCCTTCCTTGGCAGAATTAATTCTCTGTATTGGCTCCTCTAACATGGGTCTCTACCTATATACATGGGTATACCCCTCTCCGAGGTCAGGAACCAAATCATATTTGTGACACTCAACATGCAACAAGCCACAGGTGCAATGAAGGAAGGAAGACAAAAAGGGCAAATTCCACCTGCCCGCCTTCATCCCTCACCATGACAGCCCCTGAAGTAGTACCCTCAGTAGCACCATCTGATAGATGGGAATCTGGGACTCAGAGAGACAGGGTTACTGCCCAAGATCATGCAGCTAATACCTGGCTGAGCCAAGATTTGCTGTTTTACTTCATTCTCTGATTCTCATTGCACTAGACTACTCTGTTTCAACACAGAACATCCTTACTATCTTTGGTATTGGTGTGGCTCTGCCCGAGGCAGCACCATGTAGACTGCGGGCTCTGGTTACAATCACAGTTCTGCCACTGACTTGTATAATGTCTCAAAGCCTCCATTACCCTCTCTGACACATGGGAGTGCTATTGCCCATATGTGGGATGCTTGGGAGAAAAATCTGAGTGACTGCAAGTGAAAGCATGTTGTGACTTGTAGAGTGATATATGTTAGAAGGTTTTGACTCCAATGATGGTAATTTTTTTTTTTTTTTTTTTTTTTTGAGACAGAGCCTCAAGTTGTCACCCTAGGTAGAGTGCTATGGCGTCACAGCTTACAGTAACCTCCAACTCCTGGGCTTAAGTGATTCTCTTGCCTCAGCCTCCCAAGTAGCTGGGACTATAGGCGCCCGCCACAATGCTCGGCTATTTTTTGGTTGTAGTTGTCATTGTTTGGCAGGCCTGGGCTGAATTTGAACCCGCCAGCTCTGGTGTATGTGGCTGGATAAAGTGTACTTTATACACTTGAGCTACAGGTGCTGAGCCGATGATAATAATTATTAAAATAACATGCAACTGACATGGTGACAAAGCCACTTTGTGGCAGTGACCACTGGTCTGAGACCCTATTCATAGCTCTGTGCTGAGGGGATGTGACCCTTCCCTGGGGGATAATGAAGCTCTGTGGATGCCTGCAATGAGCAGGGATGCAAACTAAGTAAATCTCTGCTATCGCTGGGCTCATGGTTTGGGCTTGGGCCTGGTTCTCTTGAAGTAAAGTGGCAAACTCCTTGAACTTCAGCATCAGGATTCAAGGACACTCTTGTTCAGGGTGAGGAGGGTGGGCTTTGCATATCTGTTGTCTGCCTGCCACCAGAGAATTCAGAAACCCTCAGAATCTTTTCTGGACCACCCATCCCTTCTGTGCCACTATCCATGCCTGTAGAGGACAGGAGGAGCCCAGCACAGATTTCGCTAGATTTTTTTTTTTTTGAGACAAAGTTTCACTATGTTGCCCTCAGTAGAGTGCCTTAGCATCACAGCTCACAGCAACCTCAAACTTGGGATTGAGCGATTCTCTTGGCTCAGCCTCCCAAGTAGCTGGGACTACAGGCACCCACCACAATGCCTAGCTATTTTTTGTTGTTGTATTTTTCATTGTTGTTTAGCTGGCCTGGGCCAGGTTCGAACCCACCTGCCTTGGTCTATGTGGCTAGTGCCCTAACCACTGAGCGATGGGCACCAATCTGGTTTTGCTGGATTTGGCATGCCACAGACCAGACGTGTCCACGAGTCTGTTTTCCTCACAACCCACACGGGCTCCTACTCCCAACTGCTCACCCACACACCAGGGAAGCAGTGGGCTGAAGCAGAAAGAGCCTGGCATGGGGCAGTAAATAATGCGGTCAAGAATCCAGCAAATTTCCACGGCACTCTACCCAGGGCAACACCTTGAGGCTCTATCTCAAAAAAAAAAAAAAAAAAAAAGAATTCAGCAAAGTTTACCAGTCACAGTGGCCTCAGGGAACATACTCAACCTCTCTAATGCAGATTCCTCATTTTAGAATAGGAACTGAGCCTCTAGGCTTCTGGCTGTAGGGTCGGCATGTTCCTCCTGAGGAATTCATGGGGCATTGGCACCGAGAGCACCGAGCCAGAGAGTCCTACCACTGCTCCCAGGACACAGTCAAAATGATGAGGAAGGCAGCAGCAAATGACTAGCTCTAAAATCTGTGTTTCTCTTGCCGTCTCCTGGCCCCCTGGGCTAGATTCTGCATCCAGCACTCAGAGGCCTAAGAGAGAACACACTTCACATTGCAAGGGCCCCTATAGCAAGCTAAAGGTCCTCTAAAGAGGAGGTGTGGTCTGGGTGCAGTGGCTTATGCCTGTAATCCTATTGCTTGACCTCAGGGGTTTGAGGCCAGCCTGAGCAAGTGTGAGACCCTGTCTCTAAAAATACCTGGGAATTGTGGTGGGTGCCTGTAGTCCCAGCCACTTGGGTGGCTAAGGCAAGAGAAATACTTGAGCCCAAGAATTTGAGGTGAGCTATGACTCCAAAGCACTCAAACGCAGGGTGACTGAGTCTCTGTCTCAAAAAAAAAAAAGAAAGAAAGAAAGAAAAAAAGGAGGTCAGAACCTGCCTTAAATGAATTAGTGAACAGTTAAAGATTTTTCTGGAAGGTGTTGGCTGAAACTGTGTAGCTTTTTTCAATATTTTTTTTTTAGCACTGCTAATTTGTAGAGCTTATTTGAATAAAGACTATTCTTTTTAAATAAAAGTTATAACCAGCAACAGGAGGGTTGCAGAAGGGCCATATGGCCCTGAACTCACACCCACAAACAACCTCAAAGATGGACTTTGAATTGCTATTTCCAAATGAGGTTATCAGACAACACAGAGATCCTCCAACAGGACTGCAGAGTTAAGGGTCTTAGTGAAACTTTAAGCTATGTCTTCTTCCCTCAGTATGTAGAGGATGGTTTCTTGTGAGAGATATAATATTTTTATATATAATATAGTACGATATGATATGATATGATACATTAAGACTATGACTCTGTTCGGGCCAGGCGTGGTGGCTCACACCTGTAATCCTAGTACTCTCGGAGGCTGAGGCAGGTGGATCGCCTGAGTTCAGGAGTTCAAAACCAGCCCATCTCTACTAAAACAGAAAAACTAGCCAGGCATCATGGCAGGCACCTGTAGTCCCAGCTACTTGGGAGGCTGAGGCAAGAGGATTGTTCAAACCCAGGAGTCTGAGGTTGCTATGAGCTATGATGACCCCACGGTACTCTACCCAGGGTGACAGAGTAAGGCCATCTTAAAAAAAAAAAAAAAAGACCATGACTCCGTTAAAGAAATGTTTTATTTAAAAGATCACAATTTTTATAACCTTCTTTTGGCATTTAAATTTTTAATGTGCTAGATGACTTTGGGGGAAGAAAAATGCAGTGTCCCAGGGCTGTTTCTACCCTGAGAAGACCTGGGTAATACTCAGACTCCCAGTTGTTTGCACCTATGTCATCCCAGCATGCCACCTGCTCACAGCCAGAACCATGCACATTTGCCAAGGGACAAATTCTGGGTTTGCACATACATGACCTAGGTAAGTGGTAGCAGCCCCCATCATGGAATGGCCCTGGGGATCTAAATCCAGGGAAGTCTCCTGTCTATCGGCTATGCCTTCTGAGCCCACTGCTTGTCTTCCCCAATTGTGACCTCATGTTATTCCAGAATGAGCTCTCTCCTGGGACCTTTTCCTTCCAGACTCTTCCCTTTAGTGAGGCTGGGGGCTACAAGTCGAGAAGGAATATGCCAACCTGGCAGCAGAGATGCATCCTGGATAGAGGGAGACACTTGTCTCAGGAAGCCAGGAATGGATGCCAACCCAGTCAACGGAGTCTTTCTGCCATTGCCAACCTGACTCAACATCTTCTGCTCTCTATGGGCCACTGGATGGTAAAGGAGAGAAACCAAAGACTGGACGATAAGAAGTAATAAGTTGCAGGATAGGTTATGAGCAAAAGGCAGAAGGGACTTAGAATTAGAGAAGCTGCCCTTTCACTGACCTTAGGGACAGCTATCAGAGTGGGAGACAGGACCCAGGCTTCAGGCAACGTCTGCCAGGTTAAACATGAGGGATGCTGTGGCATCACCCCACCCCACCCCCACTGCCTTCCTCACAATGGGGTTTATTGCTGAGGTGGGAGGGGCATCGTAGGGGGGCCCAGTAGGGGACCTAGCTACCAGACACCTTTGGGGAGCCTGACCTTTCAAGCATGAGCCATACCATCTGGGCTCCCCCATTCCCAGTGTGTTCTTAGCTCTGCCTGCCCGGCGTGGGGTCCTGGATACCTTCTTGGAGTTCATCCAGCAGCCATCATGCAAGGTGGTGCTGGGGGCTGCCCTTTTACTAGGAGGTGGAGGCCTCATGCTGTGGATTCAGAGAAAGAGAAAGAAGGCAGTCACTGAATCTGCAGAAGATGCGGACAAGTCGCCAGACTCCCACAAAGCAAAAAATGGGAATTGGATCAAATCTCACTTTAGCCGCCTTTCTGAAGAGAAGCTGCTCCCCAACAGTGCCAGCACCTATAACAACTCTCCCCAGCCCGAGAGTGGGAGTGGAGAGGCCAGCACCACCATTCATATGGAGACTGTCACCACCAGGCATGGAGAAGGGGGCACTGCTGTGCGCCGGGAATCTTTTACCAGCAGGCAAAAGGCACCTGGGTCCTCGGTGATTAAAGAGACCCACAAGGAGTCTGGAATATCCTCATCCTCGAATGAGGCCACTTGGGCTGCTGTGGCTGCCTGCACGAGGGAGATTGACAGTAAAGGACGGCAACTGGCTAACTCCATGCTGCAGCGAGCCACGGCCTACCAGCACTCAGGCCACCTTGAGTCCAGGGACATCAATCAGGAGGAGCTGAAAGCCCTTGAGGAGGTGGAACTAAAGCTAAAAACAAATTTCCTCACCCAGCGGGAAAACACCATAGCTGGTGCTAACCACACACACACTTTCTATAGCATTGGTCACCGTGGCCACCAGAGCCACCAGAGCCATCCAGGCTACCAGAGCCACCAGGTTTATCCAGGTCACCTGAGCCACCAGAATCATCATGGCCACCAGAGCCAACAGAGTCACCAGGGTCATCCAGGCCACCTGAGCCATCAGGGTCACCCAGGCCACTCAAACCACCAGAGCCACAGTCTGCCCAACCGCAACCACCAGATCTATGACTCCTGTGAAGCCACCTAACCATGGGTGGAGATGCCCCTTCCCCCAGCAGGGCTGGCTCCAAACAGGCCTGTTTCTCTCTTATGTGGCAATCAGTGCGGTCCAGGATGAGAACTGCTGCCGAAAACCTTTCTTCCTCAGACCCCTACAGGCATTACAGCCCCTTTGACTCCATGAGTGGAGTCAGCCATAGAGGATGGTCCCTGCCAGGAGGGCTGGGAAGAAGCAAAGCAGCTAACACAGACGCTGAGGACCCTGAATCCCCACTGAGAGAAGACAGATGAGGCAGATCCCAGGAGCAGCTGAGAGCCCCGTAGTGATGCCAAAATGCCTGGAACAGAGCCAATAAAGCCTTGCATACCCTCAGTCTGCGTCCAGGGACTCTGTGGGCAGCTGAAGGTCTGGGCAGGGATAGAGGGAGAGGGCTCCTTCTCCAGTAGTCCTGTGTGTCTGACGTTAGCCTAGGGCCTTGGCATTGGGACAGATTTGAGACTCCATAAAAAAGACTCCCTGGTCTTAGATCGGGGGAGGGATACTTCTGGGGCCTCAATATCTGCTAACCTGCTATTGTCAGAGAACGGGGAACTAGCCCAGCCCTGTATTAGGGGAGATAGGGGAAAGAAACGGGTTTGAGAAGAAATTAAGTAAGCCAGGTGGGACGTAGGGTCTGGGCCCTCTTGGTGCCATCCTCACCTTACTTGTTTTCAAGCCCTGTGGCATCCCACACTGCATTTCTCTCTCCCTGCCCCCTGCTTCCCAGGGCCCCTCCCTGACTCCTCCCTCCCAGTTTGTGCCCATTGCTGGGCTGTGACTGTAATGCAGCTATTGCTGCCAGTATTACTAATACTACTAGCAGCTTCCTCTTTTTTTGGAGTTTTAGTATATACCTTGCTCCATAGTCATAGCTCCATGAAGAAGGTATTATCTCAGCTTTGCAAATGAGGCAGCCGAGGTTCAGAGACATAATTTGCCTGAGATGACATGGATAGTAAGTGATATTGCTGGGACTGGATCCCAGTTTGGCTTGAATCAGAGGCCCCACCTTGCCCTGTGCTGCCTCTCAGTCCTCTCCCCACCACTCCCAGATGGCTCTACTTTTCACATGCTTACTGCTGACTGCTTTTCACATGTATGGACACTTTCTCTGCCTTCCCATAAGCCTGGGACTCCTTACCTCCTCTTCCTGGGTCCCAAGAAGCCATTTCTGGGGCAAAGGGTGACCCCCTAGTCAGGTAGCTAAAGGGAAAGCAGGTACCTCCCCTGTCAGTGACAGGCACTAACTCCAAGTGATTCTTTGAAATTTCTTTGGATTTATTGTGGATTTACCATTAGTTCCAAACCTGTGGGTCCCAAACCCCAGGGGCCCAAAATCACTGCAGAGGATAGATAAGTCCATAAACAGCCTAAATGTTGTCAATTGGTTTAATAGAGTGCAATTGGGAGTATTTGAATATTTTGACATTCTTAATCAGTGACTTTATATGAATTTTGATATTTGTATATTTGAAATATTAAAATAATTTCTAATAAAAAATTTTTTTGAGACAGAGTCTCACTTTGTTGCCCTCAGTAGAGTACTGTGGCATCATAGCTCATAGCAACTTCAGACTCCTAGCCTCAAATGATTGTCTTGCCTCAGCCTCCGAAGTAGCTGGGACTACAGGTGCCCACCACAATACCCAGCAATTTTTTTGTTGCAGTTGTCATTGTTGTTTAGCTGGTTTCTGCCGGGTTCAAACCCAACAGCCTCGGTGTATGTGGCTAGCACCATAACCACTGTGCTATGGGCACTGAGCCTGTTTTTCCATTTTTTAGGTAGATACTTCTCATAGGATAATAATCTTCAGTTCCATACAAATTGTTGCAAAAGGCATTAAGCCAATCACCTTAATAACTGAGTAGTACTCTATGGTACACATATAACATTTTATTAAACCACTCATGAATTGATGGGACAATTAGATTGATTCCACATCTTTGCAATTGTGAATTGTATTGCAATAAACACACAAGTAAAAGTGTCTTTTTTTTTTTTTTTGAGACAGAGCCCCAAGCTGTCCCCCTGGGTAGAGTGCCATGGCATAGCTCACAGCAACCTCCAACTCCTAGGCTCAAGCGAGTCTCCTGCCTCTGCCTCCCAAGTTGCTGGGACCACAGGAGCCCGCCACAACACCTGGCTATTTTTTTTTTTCGGTTGCAGCCATCATTGTTGTTTGGCGGGCCGGGCTGGATTCGAACCTGTCACCTTAGGTGTATGTGGCTGGCGCCTTAGCCACTTGAGCCACAGGTGCCGAGCCACAAGTGTCTTTTTAAATAAAATGACTTCTTTACCTTTGGGTAAATACCCAGTAGTGGGATTGCTGGATTAAATGATAGATCTATGTTTAGCTCTTTGATGAATCTCCATATTGTGTTCCATAGAGGTTGTACTAATTTGCAGTCTCACCAACAGCACATAAGCATTCTTTTCTCTCTGCATCCACATCAGCATCTATTGTTTTTGGAATTTTTTTTTTTTTTTGAGAAAAAGGAAAGAGAAAAAAAAATTATTTTTTTTCAGTTTTAGTCAGAGCTAGGCTTGAACCCACCACCCCTGGTATATGGGGCCGGCACCCTACTCCTTGAGCCACAGGCACTGCCCAAGGACAGAGAAATTTATTAATTTCCTGGTAAATGGTAGGCTGGTAGATTCCAGTCTCAAAAAATACTAGCATCCTCTGGAATTTTAATTTAAAGAAAAAAACCTCAAACTGGTAAGATTCAAATAAAGCCTGTAGTTAAAGGTATTATACTAATGTTAATTCTCTGGTTCTGATCATCATACTATAGGCAGATAAGACTTTTTTTTTTTTTTAAGAGACAGAGTATCACTTTATCACCCTCGGTAGAGTGCCGTGGCATCACAGCTCATAGCAACCTCCAGTTCCAGCATGGACTTAAGCAACTCTCTTGACTCAGCCTCCCAAATAGCTGGGACTACAGGCGCCTACTTTAACACCTGGCTAGTTTTTTTTGTTTTTTTTGTTTTTTTTTTTTTTTTAGTTTGGCCAGAGCTGGGTTTGAACCTGCCACCCTTGGTATATGGGGCCAGTGCCCTACTCACTGAGCCACAGGTGCCACCAGCAGATAAGATATTATCATTGGTAGAGGCCGGATGAGGGATCTATAGAAATTCCCTGTACTATTTTTGCAACTTTTTTGTAAGTCTAAAAGTAACTCAAAATTTAAAGTTAAATAATGTTTTCAAACAATTTAGATGTGAGTACATGTCAAAATTTTATTACAGTTGTGCTACAAGCAAAATTACTTCTAGGCAGCCAACTCTAATACATACTCTTAATAAGGAGATATCTATATCTATATATATATATTTTTTTTTGAGACAGGGTCCTATTCTGTCTCCCAGGCTAGAGTGTAGTGGAGTCATCATAGCTCATTACAGTCTCAAACTCTTGGGCTCAAGTGATCCTCCTGCAGCAATTGTCCCTGACCTTGATGATTCCAGGCAAAGTCAGAAAAGTGCTAGGCAAAACAAAATGCTGTGGGGGATTGAAGGGTTCTGGGGACTTCTATGTGTGTGTGAGTAGGCAACAGGAAGTACAAGGGGCAGGTAATGGAAGTGCAGAGCAAAGAGGTCTAGTGAAGGGATTCCAGGAAGAGTTCCCAGAGGAGGTGGTAGTGATGATGGACCAAGAGGGTGTAACAGGCAGGGACAGAGGAAATTACTCAGATGATTCCTTTGGCCGCAGTAAGTCACCATGTGCTTGTGCATGCCCGGATCTCCCCAAAGCAGCCAGTGTAGCCTCTGAAATGAGAGTGAGCTGTCATCTTACAGCTGGAGGTGATTTCAAGATTGAGCACCCTCCTGATTTCAAGATTGAGCACTTTCTCCTGACCCCGTAAGAATGACAACCAATACTTACTGAGCACCATGTTCTAGTCTAAATACTCTTAAGTAGGCTCAGCGCCTATAGCTCAAGCGGCTAGGGCACCAGCCACATAGACCAAAGGTGGAGGGCTTGAATCCAGCCTGGGCCTGCCAAACAACAATGACAACTACAACCAAAAAAACAAAACAAAACAAAACAAAACTCTAAGTAGTATATCATTTAAACTTTAAACCGACTCTTTGAAAAAAGTACTAATATTATTGCCATTTTTTAGTTGAGGAAGCTGAGGTTTGGTTAAGTCACTTTCTCAATATCTCTTAGCTCGTGAGGGAGCCACTCTGAGGGGTAGTCCCCAGCTTCTCTGACTTCATGCATCTGGCTGCTCCACTGTATCACCTTCCTACTTCTCTGCCACTCACTTTCCTCTTGCCTGCTCTGTCTGGGGCTTGGCCTTTTCCTGGCTCTGACCTTCTCTTTACACTAAGGGAGGCACACAGGCCTGCAACTGCACCTCTAGCCAGGATGAAGGAGGGGGTTCCATGCACAGGATTCATAGAGCCTTCTGGTACATTTCGTCATCTAAGAACAGCCCGATAAAGTAGAATTGAAATGATTTCCTCATTGGGTGTGCCTATGGCTCAGAGGGCAGGGCGTCGGCCCCATATACCAAGGGTGGCAGGTTCAAGCCCAGTTCTGGCCAAACTACAATGAAAAAATAGCCAGGCATTATGGAGGGCACCTGTGGTCCCAGCTACTCAGGAGGCTGAGGCAAGAGAAGAGGCAAGAGAATCGCCTAAGCCCAGGGGTTGGAGGTTGCTGTCAGCTGTGATGCTACAGCACTTTACCGAGGGCAATAAAGTGAGATTCTGTCTCTTAAAAAAAAAAAAAAAGAGAGAGAAAGAAAGAAAAGAAATGATTTCCTCGACATTCCAGAGAAAAGAAAACGCTGACTCAGACATGAGATGCAACTTGCTCAATAGCCAGATGTGACTCTGGAGTCTAGTGCTCCCTGACTACACCCATGCTCCTCCCTCCCCAGCCAGGCATGTCTTCCTCTTGGGAGTCAGACCCCAGTCGGTTGGCCCCCTTAAGACAGGGGGAGGGCTGTGCCACCCTGGGCCTTTTTTTTTTTTTTTTTTTGAGACAGAGCCTCAAGCTATCCGCCTGGGTAGAGTGCCGTGGCTTCACAGCTCACAGCAACCTCCAACTCCTGGGCTCAAGCGAGTCTCCTGCCTCCGCCTCCCAAGTAGCTGGGACCACAGGCGCCCGCCACAACGCCTGGCTTTTTTTTGGTTGCAGCCGTCATTGTTGTTTGGCGGGTCCGGGCTGGATTCGAACCCGCCACCTTAGGTGTATGTGGCTGGCGCCTTAGCCATTTGAGCCACAGGCGCCGAGCCGCCACCCTGGAGCCTTGAGCGCAGGGGCCTGCCTTCCAGAGCACAAGCCCCAGCTATCCTGCTGTTCAGGCCAAGTCCAGTCACCGGGCTCTGGGGTCTCTGGAACTGACCACAAGGTGCCTCTGGAGGGAGTGACTGTGGCTGAATTGGTGACACAGAGAGAAGCTATCCCAGCCCAGAATGGTAAGTGAGGTAGAGAGGAAGGGGTCTTTGTCATTTGAATAGAGAAAGTGGCAAGAGCTTGGTCTCTAAATCCTTCCTTAGTCAAGGGGTGCTGATGCGTCGTGGCTAGACTGGAATCTCACCCAGGGATGGCAGCCCTTTTGAATGGGCCTGACCCACTGGGAAAGCACTGGGGCTTTATGGATCCAGACACAAGGAGGTTCCTGCCTTCACTTCTAATCTGACTCAGAAGAACTCTGAAGTAATACAATGGAAGCCAAAAGCTATTTGCCTCAAGATGTTCCCTACAATGTTACCAAAACGGGGGTGGGGGGGCACTAAATAGCCAGGGCAAGATATCCTGGCAACCTACTCACTGGAATATAATGTGTAGTGAACAGCATGGAAAAAGGCTTGTGGTGTGAAGTCGAATCGACATTACACTGTGTCCCCTGAAGGATGACTCACAGGAACAATTTCTCTTGGTCCCAGTGCCAGGAAACTCTGTGTTTCTCCAGGACACTTGCTTTGCTTTTATCTGTTGGGCTCTACATGTCTGCTAAGTGACCATGTTTCCCTTTTAGCTTTGACTGTCGGGAAGCTCCAAATCACACTTATGGCTCATCTCTCACAACTGTATGGCAAGGATTTTGTACACCAATACTGCTCTCACCTTGACCTTTTTGTCCTTCTCCTAAATATCCTTCTAATAGTTAACAATCTTGTGTTGTATGCTGTAGTTGTAAACTAGTTCAGTTTTTTTTTTTTAATGGAACAGAGTGGAGACGAAAAAAGAGAAAGTCACATGACAAAAAAGGGAGAGAAAAATGATTCTACTGACATTCTCCTTAGTTTTAGCTGAAGAACACCAATTCTGCTCATCGCCCCCCTTTTTTTTTTGAGACAGAGTCTCACTCTGTCGCTCTGGCATCATCATAGCGATTCTCTTGCCTCAGCCTCCTAAGTAGCTGGAACTTCAGTTGCCTGCCACAATGAACTTCTGCTGGTCTCTTGAAGAAATAAAAGATAAAGAATTGACAGTTGTTATCTGGTACAGGTTACAGGTTACTGGTTAGGAATGTCAAATCTACATGATTGATAGGGTGGCGCCTGTGGCTCAAAGGAGTAGGGCACCTGCCCCATATACCAGAGGTGGTGGGTTCAAACCCAGCCCTGACCAAAAACTGCCATAACCCCCCCCAAAACACCCCCCAAAATGACATGACTGATAAAAGAGGAAAATGCAAAATAAAACAACGAGATATTACCCAGAAAATTGGCAATAATTTTCTCTGACAATACCAAGAAGTGGCAGGAATGGACATGAATAGGTGCTTCTTTGAGGCTGACTACAGATACCACACACATGCAGGTGCACATAGCTATGACTTAGCAATCACACACCTAATTGTCCTTAATCATATACTTAAGTGGCTCAGCGCCTGTGGCTCAAGTGGCTAAGGTGCCAGCCACATACACCTAAGGTGGCGGGTTCTAATC